GGATGAACTGGGAGAAAGCTTATAGAGTCAGACAGACGTGCTTTTTTCTCTAGAGGGTGCAGGTTTTCTGCTGGGCAATGCATTGTTAATCAACACTTGTCCAAGAAGGACACATCCTTTCTATTGTCATTAAAGCCACAGTCACTTAGTCACTTGAACAGAAAATGAGGCCAGTTCACTGCTTCTCCAGCTGAGCTTGGAGTCAGGGTTTGTATCTCAAGTCCGAAATCTGGCTGAGTCCTTCCTGCACACTTTAGTCTTGGTCTAATGACGGCCTCGTCTTGGCACATTTGTCGTACTCAGAACCAAACAGCAGACAATAGTCCTGTGTTAACAAAAGCCGCCGTGGAGCTATGGATGAGCTCCCAGATTGAAGCCTGATGGACTGTAGGATGGAAGCATGCAGAAGCACCCCGCAGCTCCAAGCACTCCCTGTGGGCCTGCCCGCCCCATGTGTACCTGTGCGGGGACAGCAGCTGTGCAGGTTGGCCATTTCGGATCCCAGAATGTGCGTGTGAAACGCAGATTCACACCCCTCGAGTTTATTTGGGTCGTCATGATTTTGTGTGTCGTACATATGTCTGGAGTTCTTCGTATGCAACCCCACACCCCGGACACTCTTAAGCACAGCTTTGTAATTTTTAAAAGAAGGCAAAGTCTACAGGAAAGAGAAGCATGTAAATATGTACCAGTGCTTATGAAGTTGTTATTGTTTGTATGTAGAAAGGATGTGCACTGGAAAGGGAAAGTGGCTCAGTGAATGTTTTAAATAATACTTCACGTACCAAATTGCATTTGGTACATTCAGGAAAGCACACATTCAGTTGCAATGCCAATTCTTCTCTTCAGATATTGTTCTTATTCATGTATCATAGGCACCTTCTTTTCATCTGATTACAAAATCCAGCATTTCAGGATTGGGCTTTTGCAAAACAAAAACGAAGAAGAAGGGCTTCCCTGGTGGTGCAGTGGTTGAGAGTCCGCCTGCCGATGTGGGGGACGCCGGTTTGTGCCCCGGTCTGGGAGGATCCCACATGCCACGGAGCGGCTGGGCCCATGAGCCATGGCCACTGAGCCTGCGCATCCACAGCCTGTGCTCCACAACGGGAGAGGCCACAGCAGTGAGAGGCCCACGTACCAAAAAAAAAAAAAAAAGAAAAGAAGAAGAAGAAGAGAGAGAGAGAAAGGGGCAAACATGAGCCTTTGTCACTGATTCCTCCTGGTCCAATGAGCATCTGAAGAATTCAAGTATTTCATGATAACATGCGCTTTCTAAATTCTAGAGTGTACCTTGTTGCAAAGCCAGTGGGCTGGACTGAATTCCCTGCGAGTATCGGGACTCTCTTACCGCTAGCTCTTCAAACAGGGGACGCGTGTGTGTAAGTGTGCCACTCCCTAATGCAGCAAGAGGAAGGACCCTGAAAGGCTGAAGCACAGAAGTGTTTACTGTGTAACCGGGATGTGGACATGTATACAGCGTAACGGTTATCGCCATAATCACTGTGTGCACAATACCCAGAAAAACACAAATGTTTTCATTTGTCTAAACTACAAATCCATGTAAATTTCAGCTTTCCTTGTTGACACGGATGTGTGTACCTGCTTCCATGGTCTAGAGCTCCAGTCGCTGAAGGACCATGGCTCTTCCTTAAAGGGCTCTGCCCTCGAGGAACCTGCAGCCTTCAGGATGCCCCGAGTGCCTTACAGGGCTGTGAACACCAACTCTGGCAGTCAGGAAGGAGGGTGTGCCGGGAGTGGGTTTGGAGGCGCTGTGACATTAATCTACACTGACCGTTACTGCATCGTTGACCTTAAGATGGATTGTGTGTTTTAACACAGTAATGGATTTACGTCTAGGCTCAGGAAAATCAAGGTGTAAATTATGTATCAAGTCATATATTTGTTTACTGTATATTTTTAAAAAGCTTTATTGTAAATTTATGCAGAAATGAATGAGGACTTGTTTTCTCACAGCAATGCGCCAGGCAGTATTCGTGTTCCCTGAAGCAGTTCCTTAATAACCACACTCTACACACCGGATAACTCTGTTCAGTGCTAAACAGTATTCAGAGGCCTAAAATAGGTTTGTATGGTGATCAGCTACAAAATTTTACACATATTTTTGTATTGTGATTCCTATGATATATACCAGAGAATTTTTACTCATTTGTAAATTATTGTACAGTTTTTAATAAAAGGTTGTTTTAAGTCTTAGAATATCAAAGTTCTCCTCCTCACAAAGTATTAAAGTTTGGACGTATCTGCTATGTTAGCCACTTCTGTGTTCCGTGTCCACGCTCTGAACGACAGTGCCTCTTTCCACACCAAAAAGGGAACTTGGGCCTTCTGCTCACTAGGGAGGGGTGCCGGGCATCTCACATATAGCCTCATCCTAAGTCATGGGGAGTCTTCTGGAGCACAGACTCTGAAATCAGAGGTCCTGGCAGCACCTGGCTGAAGTCAGCCACCAGGGAGGACTGCTCCTGTAGCTGTTTGTCAAATGAGAACCAGAAAAGAAAAGTCAACCGCTGAGAATGGTGAAAGAATTTCTGTGGATGAATAAGAACACATTTTAGTCACAGTGATCCCACACAGGTGGTTAAAGCCTGTTTGATCTCTTTGGGGGAGTGGAAAACCAAGGTGGGACTGGGACAAGGGGATGGGAAAGTGAGGATTTAGCTCTGCAGGTGTTCTTATGCCAGCCAGTACTGGAGTGTCCTCGCACTGACTCTCACTGTCCCAACTTACGCTTTGAAATTCCGGCTGCACTAACAGAACGGAAGGGTTGGGATGTCTTTTCCTTAAAAAACAGTCCCTGCAGGGATCGACTGAGTGACAGTATCACCCTGTGACTCTGCGTGGGCTGAGAGTCCTCCTACTGTGTCTCACCCCAAACCTTGAACATTTTTTAAATTAATTAATTAATTTTAATTTTGGCTGCATGGGGTCTTCGTTGCTGCACGCGGGTTTTCTCGAGTTATGGCGAGCGGGGGCTACTCTTCGTTGCGGTGCACGGGCTTCTCATTACGGTGGCTTCTCTTGTTGCAGAGCACGGGCTCTAGGCGCGCGGGCTTCAGTAGTTGTGGCTCGCGGGCTCTAGAGCACAGGCTCAGCGCATGGGCTTAGCTGCTCCGCAGCATGTGGGATCTTCCCAGACCACATGTCCCCTGTTCCCCTGCTCGAACCCGTGTCCCCTGCATTGGCAGGCGGATTCTTAACCACTGCGCCACCAGGGAAGCCCTGAACTTGTTTTTAAGGGCAGTCAGGAGCAGCTCCCGTGGGCGCATTCCCTCCCCCCCCCCCGCCACCGCCGGCCTGGCCCTCACGACTCGCCAAATGTTTCAGAGTCAGAGCCTCCTTCCCTGACGTGAGATCGCCCACAGGGCCTGGAAATGTGGCTGGAGTTCCGAAAAACTGTGGTTTCTTCCGTGCGTGGTCCCCGCCTGCCCTTCTGCGGGTTGAGCTGGAGGTCGGAACCCCGGTTTGCCCCGGGGGCGAGCTGCGGAGCTTCGCTGGGGCAGAACGCGCGCCCTCGGCCCAGTTCCGGAGCGTTCAGCACTCCCTGCGTGGACAGCGCCAGCTCCGAGCGGACGCCAGGCCGGGCTGAGGGGTGGGGGGAGGGCTGGGGGGCTGGGGGGGGGGGCGCCAGGCCCGGCTCCGCCCAGTCCACGAGAACTCGCAGACCCCGCCACAGGAGGCTCCAGGAACCGCCGCCCCTCGCCGGCTCCCGCCGTGGCAGCACGGCGGCCGCAGGAGCCAGCAGAGGCTCTGCCCACGTGCCCGGGGATGCGGGGCACAGGAAGGCCCGGGCCGGCCCAAGCTTGGCGGAGTCTTCCGCTGCCTGGAGGACGCCTTTGAGAACAAGACGCTGCAGCTGGACGCGCGGGGAGGCGTACACCAGGGTCCGCGAGCAGGAGAGCCCCACAGCGGGCCAAGCTGCCACCAGGAGGGACGCAGCGAGCCAGGCGGAGACGGCCCAGAGGCTGCTGCAAGTCTCCCAGAGAGGCCCAGCGTGGCCCAGGCCCGCGGCCCACAGCAGGTAGTGGCCGCAGTGCAGAGGCGCGGGCATCGGGGCCAGTGAGAGGGGGACGCGGGCCCTGGACTCCCTGAGACGCCACACGTCCACGCCGGAGGCCGCTGGGGCGCAGTCCAGGGGCTCGCCCTCTTCCACCAGCCCCCAGCTCCTCCGAGGGGACGCGAGGGCTCTTCTTCTCCCTGACTGGCCGTGTCTGAGCCTGGACTTCTATCCTGCGCGCCCCCCTCCTCAGAACCCGCCCGGAGGCCTGGCCTCTCCTGCCCTGGTCTGCCTCTCCGGTCCGTCCTGGGTCCTGGGTAGCTCTTTCTCTGTGTGTCTCTCTCGGTCTCTTTCTATCCCTTCTGTGTCTCTCCAACCTCCCACCTGACATCAAGCTTCGCGGGACTGGCCCTGGGGCAGCCTCACAATGAGGTGTTTCACAGTGAGGTGTCTCCACTGTCCGGTCCCAGGGCCAGCGCATGGCCTGGCGTTCCGATCCCTGCCCGGGCAATACTCCAATGAGCCCGGCTTTGGCCTGAAACATCTTTCCGGACGGAGTCCAGCCTGAGCCTGGACTTGAGATTGCATTCAATCCCCGCGGCCCTGGGTGCCTCGGGTCATCAGGGAGCTGGTGGCGGGCCCTCGGCTGGCCAGGGGGGAAGGGGGTCCTGGCAGGACATTGTCGGAACGCTCACTCTCCATCCCGGGTGCAGACTCTGCACACACACTGGCCGGGACCAGTCGCAACCCTCTCCTCCTGCCCACCCTAAACAAGTTCGCCTCTCGGTCCTAAGCTCGCGCCTAGGGCCGGGGTTGCGGGTACAGTCACCGAGCCCGGCCGGGGCGGGGCTTGAAAGCAGAGCGGCAGCGGCGGGCCGGGGGGCGTGGCCGGGGGCGTGGCCGGGCCGGGGGCGTGGCCGGCAACGGAGCCGCGCGGCCCAGCGCGCTCCCACTTGGACGCCCGGCGCCCCCACGCGCACGCCTGGGCTCTGTGCGCCCCCACGTCGAGGCCTAGCTCGTGCGTCCGCCGCCGGGGACCCCCAGGACCGCAACGCCCGAACCGGGCCGCGCCGGCCAAAGGAGACGGCGGCGCAGCCGGAGGAGCAGGATGTCCTTCCAGGGCAAGAAGAGCATCCCCCGGATCACGGTGAGCTCCGCTCCCGGGGCCCGCTCCGCACCTCCGGCCCACTGTCCCGGGCGGGACCTGGCCTCCGGGCCCCGGGGAAGACCCTCCCGGCCCTGCGCCGGGCCCCCCTCCCTCCGTGTCCAGCCCCCGCGCTTGCCCCTGTGCCGGCGCGCTCCTTCCCGCCCAGCCCGGGGTGCCCGCGAGCGCCGCGCCGGAACCCCTTTATGGAGCCGGCGCATAGGCCCAGACCCTCCTCTGCTCCCGGCGAGGGCTGGGGCCGGGGGGAGGGCTGGGGCCGGGGGGAGGCCTGCTCCCCAAGCGCAGATGCACCTGCCTCCTCCCCCCCCACCCCGCCCCCGTGCGTCCGGGCCTCTCTGGGAGCTCCGATTCGGAGTGGGCCGTCGGTGCGGCCCTTTGTTGACACCCCCGGTCCGGCCTCCGGCCTCGGGGCACAGATATGCCATCCCCATCCTGCGCCCCTCCACCCCGCGCCCACGCCGCCGCCGCACCACCAGGAGCTCTTTGTCCGAGACAAAGCAACTCAACCCGGCCCGGAGCCCTTGGCGACCCGAACCCCTCCATGGAGCCGGGGTTCGGAGCCCCCGGGGTGGCGGGCGGTGGGGGGAGAGAGGAGGTGGCTCGCTAGTCACTGTGCGGGCATCAGGCAGCTCAGGTCCGGGGAGGCGACCCTCTAACAGCACACGCACTGCTGCGGGAGGTCCCACTGTACACCCCGCGCTGCCAGGAAACAAAGCCGCCCCCTCCGTGCGGCCAGGAGCCCAGCGGGAGGGAGGGAGGGAGGGAGGGAAGGATGGAGGGAGGGAGGCGGGCGCCTGGGCGCCAGCTGGACGGTGCCTGGGAACCCACGGATTCAGATCCAGCGGGAGGCGGTGGGATGGCCCAGGGAGTGGCCAGTTCACTTCCTGAGATACTCAGGGAGGAAGAAGCCCTCCCCACCCCTCGCAAACAGGAGAGGGTCAGACCTGGTGCAGGCAGGGAGCCAGCCAGGGCCGGGAGGGGGCTGATCCCGTCTCTGGGCAGCTCAGACTCAAGTGGCTGGTTTAGGGGAACTTCTGCCCTCATCCTGAGGAGCACGGCACCTCATCCTGCTGCATTTCCCCCTTGGCTCCAAACCCAGGAAGGCTCCCAGAATCGGAGTCCAGACGTCTGAGCATTGGAGGGTGGGGGATTGAGCAGGGCACCCAGGCCACAGTCTCTTCCTGTCCAAAGCCTTCCACGTCCTCTTCTTGGGCATCTCTGAGAACGCGCTGGTCCACTGGGGCTGGAGTTGGGGCTGTGGGAGTGGGGGCACTGCAGGGGGAGGCAGGAGGGTCTGAACACTGGGTCAGAAGGTGGGCAAGGTGGGTCCTTGTGACGTGACCTGTCAGGGCTGGGTCTAGGGCCCAGGGGACCGGGCAGTGAGCCTCTGCAGAACCCAGAAGGGAGAGGCCCAGGCAGCTGGGGCCGGGCCATGTGGTAGAGCAGGAGTTGGCAGTAGGTCACACAGTAGGTATTTTCAGCTTCGAGGGCCCCACTGTTTCTGGTGCAGCTGCTCAGCGCTGCAAGAGAGCGGCCCTGGGTGTGAGTGCTCCAGTAAACGCTGAGCTTGGACACTGAAACGTGAACCTCGTGGACTGTTATGAGTCTTGAAAGTCTTCTTATGACGTCTTTCAACCAGCATAAGAGGCGAGCCGTGCTCCGCTCGGGGCTGCACGGGACAGGTCGAGGGCCGTGCTGGCTGTGGCACCCTGGCCGCCCTTCTGTAGACCGTGCGGTGCTGGTCTTACCGTTAGTCAATAGAAATCTGAGAATTCAGCCCAAACGGTTAGATGTTAATAAGAACAGAGAAGGATGTGATAAGGCTCATAAGCGCTGAATTATTTATCCTCTCAGCAGATTCATAGGAGAATCTGGCATCAGTCAGTTCTCTTGGCGTCAGGCTGATGGTGTGCAAAGAGCCAGAACCCCCGGCCCGGAGCCCTAGCCTGGCCTCTGGGTGGGCACCCCTGAGCCCCGGGCCAGGTCCCAGAGCCGTCACTCCGGCCTGGTCACGTCGCAGAGAGTGGCAGGCTCCAGCAGGTCACGGAGGGAAAGTGCTGCCGGGCTGGGCCCTCGCCCGCTTCGTTCTGCACTCAGCTCTTTGCTCCTGCTTTGTGTTTCTCTCCATTTTTCTCCACTGAGGTCAGACCATCACCCCTGACATCATGCACGGCTCTGCCTCACTCCCTCCTCCTGACCATCAGAAGTGGGCTTATGGCTGCCCAGCTCCGGACTGCGGGGGCCCCGAAGAGCTGGCCGAACTTGCTGCCACTTTGTTCACCCCCTTGGGCCACCCGCAGGCGGCACCAGAACCGGCAGGCGCCCCGCTGTCCTCGGGGCCCTGCACCCCCATGGCCTCTGCATCAGCAGCCCCTGCTCCCCAACTCCCAGCCTCTCTGGAGTCCATCTCTCATCCGCCCCATAATGCCGGCCTGGGGCCCCACATCTCACCCAGACCACATCAGACCCCACTCCAGCGATGGCCCTGTTTCCATCCTTGAACACCACGGGCTGCTCTCTACAACAGGCTAATGTGAACTCTGTACGATCATTTAAACCCCAGCTTAAGGCCTCCCAGGTGGCGGCCCACTGATTCCCCAAGTCCAGCATGCCCCACTCCTACCCACCTCCCATTCCCCCCACCACCCCCCCACCCCGCCTCATTTCCTCTCCTGCATCAACCAGACTCTTTCCTGCCTCAGGGCCTTTGCTTGGGCTGTGCCCTGGCCTGAGCTTGAGTCACCTCCAGTTTTAGCTCCTCCAACAGGTCCTTCTTGGTCCTTGAGGCAGTCAGGCCTGTCTCCCATCACGCTGTCACGTCACCTGCTTTGTGCTCTTGCGTCTGTCACCATCTGTGACGGCCATGTGTGTGATGTCTGTCTCCCTCCCCAGGGGTAGGGCCCCTGCCTGCCAGCACTGCCTCAGGGCACAGAGATTCTGGAAGGAGCCCGCCCCAGCTGTCAGCCGGAGCCGCCTCTGTGGGTGGACGAGTAGGGCAGACCTTCCAGGCCGGCAGGGGCGTGTGAGATGTGGTCCACCTCCGCCCTTGGCCTGGGCTTGACAAATTAGGCGACGGGTGTGAAGATGTACGCGTGGTTCACTGCACCGCTGTTCGCACCGCCTCGGCTTTGCCGTGGGGAAGCGGGGAGCTGGCTGGTCGTACACCCTGTGCCTCTGGCGAGGCCAGACTGCCTGACCTGTGTTTGCAGGTCGTGTGCGGGGCCCGTAGGCAGCTGCCCCCAAGGGCCACCATCTCGGGCCCCCTCTGCCCGCCCTGGGTGTACCCTCTGCCCGCCCTTGGTGTGTGCTGGCTTTCATGCACACAAATTGTGCCTGAATGTTTCCATCATAATTCCAGGGTAAAGTTTGTGCTCAAGATACTGTTGAGTCACTTAGTTTGGAGGAAACTTACCCATTTCTTTGTTTCTGATAGAGTGACCGCCTTCTGATCAGAGGCGGGAGGATCGTGAATGATGACCAGTCCTTTTATGCCGACCTGTATGTGGAGGACGGTTTGATAAAGTGAGTTTCTACCTCAGATATCTTCATGGTCACACGTTGATCACACACTACCCAGAAGTTTACTTTTGGGGGAGATCCACGTGAATGGTTCTTTCTTTCCCAAAAGCTCGTTCCCTGGAAATAGCTTTTGCCCAGCCCGAGCCTTCAGTGAGGCCTCAGAGAGCGGAACGATGGCTTCCTCATTTCTTTGTTCACACAGCTTCAGTACGGTGTGGGGCTCAAAGCAGGTGTTTAATAAATGCTTATCGACCACACCTATCATTTTGTCTGCTCGTGCCTGTCCAAGTAGCTCCAGGGACTTCCCTGGCCGTCCAGTGGCTAAGACTCCACGCTCCCAGTGCAGGGGGTGCGGGTTCGATCCCTGGTCGGGAACTGAGTTCCCACATGCCACGCGGCAGGAACAAAACAAAACAAAGGAGCAGCTCCAGCCTCTGGTCAGTAAGCAGCGAGTGGACACCTAAGTGACCGCCACAGGGTTGGCTCCTCCGTGTTGACGGTCCTGAGCCCCAGAGTGTGGGCTGGTCAAGTCTTGGCCGTATCGCCCTTTTCCTCAGGGACAAGAGCCCAAGGGCAAGGGTCCCGGCTCTGCATCATTGCCAGGAGCCCGTTCGCGTTTGCTCAGGGCTCTTCCTAACTAGCAAAATCTCTGTTGCTTTCAGACAAATCGGAGAAAACCTCATTATCCCTGGGGGCATGAAAACGATTGACGCTCACGGCCTGATGGTCCTGCCGGGCGGAGTGGACGTCCACACAAGGCTGCAGATGCCCGTCCTGGGCATGACCCCGGCCGATGACTTCTGCCAGGGGACCAAGGCCGCCCTGGCAGGAGGGACCACCATGATATGTGAGTGTCTCCTGTGGGGAGTGTCCATCCCAGCCCGTGGTCCTCTGGCAGGTTTGCATGTCGCAGGAAGAGCTTTCCCTGATGGTGTTTTTCTCAGGCCTCTTTCCCTTTATTACATCTCATTCTAAGAAATCCTTGAGTGCCTGTCTAACCCTGTCCCTCATCCTGAGTCGTGCTGCCTGGGCCAGCTCTGGAGCACGCCTGGGATTTCCACGGGAGCACAGGGGTGTGCGCCCAGTAATTTGTTATTTCCCGGGAAGCTAGCAGCTGGCTAAGGACCAGGTTTGGAAAACCCAAGTGCAGGGGTCGTGTTGCCTGAAATGTCAGACACATTTGCCCCTGAACCTCACACCCTCTGAAGCTTGGTTTGCAGAAACTCCCTGCCCATGTCAAAAGAGCTAAAGACGGAGGCTGTGTTTTAGGAAAAGGATGATGAAAAATACCATTACCCTATCAACAAGCCCCAGAGGTACCGTTTCTTTAGTGCCGACCCTGTGCCAGGGCACGAGCGCCATCCTGATGAGTCTCAGCTCCATGCTCTCCTCGTACAACCCCCTGAGCTGGGCAGAGAAGCCCCAGTTAACAGCTTGTGAGGTGAATTCGCTTGCCCACCGCGAACTTGCTCGTGGCCAGCGCAGGGGTCAGGAAGAGGCACCAGCGTGCAGCCCTCCTCCCGTGGCCTTGAGCGCCACCAACTCCGCAGTCCCGAGCACAGACACATCCACTAGGTTAGACCTGGCCTAACACACCCAGTCCAGCCCCGGCTGCACCGCATCCTGGCTGTGACTTCAGGCAACGCAACTCTCTTTTAGACGCATCTCGCCTCCCTGGTCTGTCAGGCAAGAGGAAGCGGGCGGAGGATGGAGCAAGTGGGCGCACGTCGTAGCTTTGCTGTGTCCGGCACACAGTGAGCGCTGCCACTGCTGCCGCCGGGAAAGGCTGCTCTGGGGACCCTGGGCTACTTCACAAGTGACATTTAGATGTTGCAAAATCCTGACCTGGTGTGGTTTACTGAACTACGACGTGGAAGGAAAAACCCAACAGTGGTCCACCTTTTGGTCTGATTAAATCGCGAGTTGCGATTTCAGGCCCTTGGTCCTGCTTGTCATTGGTGGCCCCCCGGGCTGAGCAGGCGCCGTCGTAGTTATGTCACCTGTGCCTGCGAGAGATGCTGCAGGACCGGGCTGGCATAGGCGGAGCCGCCCGCAGCTCCAGGCTGGAGCTGTGAGCGGCCTGCAGGGCGGGGCCCTGGGCTCGTGACCTGAACTGTGGGACGCAGAGGGCCCACATGCGGTGCGCTGCAGGAAGGCACGGCATTTGCCTGTAACCCCGACGGCCACCACACTCCCAGCTCTTTCCCTGCACCTGGCAGAGGCCACGAGCAGGTTTGGACCTTGGACGCGGGGTTGCCGGCGGGGCTGGGGTGACGGTGCAGTGTCCACGTGCGTTCCCAGTTTCCCCGGGGGGTGGGGTGGGAGCACCGCTCGAGGGCTGTGCGGCCAGTGAGGCAGGAGGGAAGCCAGCCCCGTGCGCTGCTGTGGGCAGGCTCGCGGGTCCAGCGCCACGGACAGTGGTGCCGCCCCTCCCCCTCCAGGGGCACCGCACTCAGGCCAGGCCTGTGCGGGAAGTGGAGGCCTAAACTGCCGCTGGGCTCTTTGGGGGGTGTCCACTGGAGAGTGAGGGCCTCCCCTCTGCCCAGAGAGACGCTGGGGACGAGCGGCGGGAGACGCCTCTTTGGCCAGAACCGACGGGCAGGTTCCCAGCAGCCTCAGCCCCGTGTTGGGTATGAGGCCTCTTCTCTGCTTTTCTCAGACGTGCTTCCTGGTTTCCTGGGAACACGAAGCCGCTCTCCCTCGGAGGCCCAGGTGGTCCCAGTGGCACGGGTGGGGGGCTCAGCTGACCACGCTGTCCCCACAGTGGACCACGTGTTCCCCGACACGGGTGTGAGCCTGCTGGCAGCCTACGAGCAGTGGCGGGAGAGGGCGGACCGTGGAGCCTGCTGTGACTACTCCCTGCACGTGGACATCCCCCGCTGGCACGAGAGCACCAGGGAGGAGCTGGAGGTCCTGGTGAAGGACAAGGGTGAGCGGGACGCCCGGCCGGGCAGAAGGGCAGCTGCAGGGCCTGGCCTCCCTGGCCTCGGGTGGGCGCTGTGTGGACCTGAGCCCGGGGCAGGGGGTCGCGAGCTGGGAGGAAGTTGGACAAGAGCCATTCGAAGATCTGCTGGGCTGAGAGGTCACCTGCGTCCGAGTCTGGGGACGCATCCCGTAGCTGTTGTCCTCACAAGAGGACACAGCAGGGACTTCCCTGGAGGTCCAGTGGTTAAGACGTCACCTTCCAGTGCAGGGGGTGCGGGTTGGATCCCTAGTTGGGGAGCTAAGATCCCACATGCCTCGCAGTCAAAAAACCAAAACATAAAACAGAAGCAATATTGTAAGAAAATTCAATAAAGACTTAAGAAGAGGACACAGCAGTCGCAGCTGTCGCCTCGGTCCTCTCGTGTCTTGGCCCTGGATGAAGGGTAAGCGCTGTAAGCCTTCTTAGCATCTTAAGAGCCTTTAGAAGGAGATGCCTTAAAACCTACTGCCAAAAAAAATCAAAATAAAATAAAACCTACTGCTGCCTCAGCTGAAACAGGACGGTTTACAGATAAGGCTTAATTTTTTTTTTAATCAAAAGTCCTGAAGCTGAAACCACATCAGAGTTTATAGAGGATTTGACAAGTTAGCTGGACGTCGTAACTGAGCTCCGGCGACTGGCTTTGAGGGTGGGCCTAGCGCACAGCCGGGAGAGGAGCTGGAGGGGCTGAGACGGGGGGTGCTGGCTGCAGACCCCTGGCCGGGCCCTGGAGGCCACAGGGCCCTCCCCACAGGAGACGCTGCCACCCGCCCCACTGTACCTCCGAGGGAGGCAGGGAGGTTCAGGGAGGCCATTTCCCAAAGCGCGACGGTCCTCACACCAGTAGCCTTTGGCATTTAGGACCCCCAACCTGGGGGTGGGCAGGGGGCTCTCAGCCTCTGCACCTCATTCCAGGCAGTGGCTCCACCACCCGGGTTGTTCCTTAACAGGATCGGGAGGCCTGCGGCCTTGCAGCTCCGAGCAGAGGTAGAAACCAGGCACCTGCCGCCACCACCCTCCTGCCGGGGCAGAGCGCTGGTCCTGGCCTGCTGCGTGGCGTCCAGGGACAGGCCTGCATGCTGACCAGTAGCCTCCACCAGGCGCCCTGGGGCGGGTTGCCACCTGGGGGGTCGGCTCGTGTAGCACTGGGTGACAGTTTCCCCCGCGTGCCTTTGCTCAAGGTCGCACTTTCGACCCAGCGAGATGACAGGGAGGAGGGCGGGGCCGCGCGCCGCTGGTTTGGATGGTGGGGGGTCAGGTGAGTCCCCAGCTGGTCCCGAGTCCACACAGCACAGGAGCTCGACCCTGGCCTGATGGGCCCCTGACGCCGCGGGCAGCCGGTCCTGTTCCTTCTGCTTTTCCTGAGGGCCTGAGCGGGCGCTGTGAGCGGGACCTGGCAGGTGCCACTGAGGCCCGCAGGCTAGGTGGCCAACATGAGGGCCATCCCAGCGCCCAGTGCGGGAGGGGCTCCTGTGCAGCCCGGGCGGAGCTCAGGCAGCGAGCCTGCAGCTCACGGCTCCCTTCTGTCCAGGGGGCACGGGGCTCCCGGGGCTCCCAGGGGCCATGGCGGTTTAGCAGGTGGGGGGGCGGGGTCTCACCTCGCTCTGCCACTGGGGAACAATTGGTTCCTGACCCCAGAGCTCGAGGAGCAGGAGGCGCCGGGGTGACTCTGTCCCCATCCCGGCCCGGGAGAGTGTGGGGCTGGTCCCCCAGGGCCACGAGGCCAGCTGGTGGGGCCCCTGGAGCTCGGGGATAAGTGGAGGCTCCTGGCATCCACCCCTCCTGCCTCCCCCCAGGTGTGAACTCCTTCCTGGTCTTCATGGCATACAAGGACAGGTACCAGTGCACGGACGGCCAGGTAAGGCCAGGTTTCGAGTGGGGGAGCGAGCAGGTGTCTCATGCTGCTGTGGATGGGAGACACACAGCCTCACGCAGCCCATGTGTCTCTCCCCAGATGTACGAGATCTTCAGTGTCATCCGGGACCTGGGAGCCGTGGCCCAAGTGCACGCGGAGAACGGCGACATCGTGGATGAGGTGTGGGCGGGGCTGGCGGGGTGACCCCTGCCCACTTGGGTGTGAGCACTGATCCCACAAACCCTGACGGAGGGAGCCTGGAACTTGACCCAGTAAATGGCTTGCCCAGGTCAAAGGGAAAGCAGGCAGGGCGTCAGGGAGTCTGGGGGGCTCTTGGCCATAACAGATTTTTCCATGATCATCACACTTCTGATCAAAAAGCCTCCAAAACCAGGGACTTCCCTGGCGATCCAGTGGGTGCGATTCTGCACTTCCACCGCAGGGGGCGCAGGTTCCATCCCTGGTTGGTGGCGGAGCTCCTATGCTTCGCGGTGTGGCCAAAAAAAAAAAATTCTCCGAAATCAGTGTTGCTTCTCGGTGAGGGGTGCCGAGACTGGGGTCTCCGAGCCCTCCGCCCCCTGGACTGAGGCCCCTCCCATGAGCACACCTGTTGGGTTAGTGGCGCTGTCCTCAGTCGCGCCCCAAGCTGCCTGGGGGGTGCCTGGCCCTGCTGCGCACGCCCCCACCTTCCCTGTGGGCCCAGGGCTGTGAGGGGGGTGCCCCCAGCCTCTGCCCCTCACCCCGTTTTCCCGTCCGCCCACTGGTGCAGGTTGGGTGGGGCGCCCAGGATCTTCCAGGCCTCCTGGGGACCTGGCGGGAGGTCGCACACACACGGCCACCTCCCCAACATTCCAGACCCACAGAGAAGCTTCCTGGGACCCGTAGGGCTCTGCCCCTCCCAAGTTCAACGGGAGGGTGGTGACACTCAGGAGGGGCATGTGGGGTTCCGGGCATCGGGTACTGTATGTGCTTCCAGGGTTCGAGGCCAGGCCCGGCAGGAGACGTCGTGGGTCACGCTTAGTGTTCAGGACGCTGGGCCACAAGTGCCAGGGAGGCTTATTAGGGGGTCGGTGGGATTCTGCTCCCCCATTCTCCACGCCGAAGCTCGTTTACACCGTAGGGCGCTGTGGCTCAGACCTGTAATATGAGTGAACTTGCCCAAGAAGAAGCCCCGTCCCCGACTGCGCACAGCCGCCACGCACACCCCGCCGCGCACGCCCCCGACCCCCCCCCCCCCCACCCCACCCCCCCCCCCCCGCGCCCGCCCCCGACCGCCGTCCCCCCGCGCATGCCCCCGCCACGCACACCCCGACGCGCACGCCCCCGACGCTCACCCACTGGGGAAACAACACGGCAGGCAAAGCTGTGGGGTCTTGTCCCCTCACTTAGGTCCTGCGACCTTAGGCAAGTCCTTGCCCTTTGCAAGCCCCGTTCTTTCATCTGTAATTGGGGGCGCTGAAGTCACTCCACTTCGGGACCCCTCTGCTCCATTCTGAGTTCTCTGGGATTGGTGATCCTCAGGGGCCTGGAAGTCTGGGCTCATCTCGGGGAGCACGGGTCGTCTCAGGGTCAGGGTGTTCTGGGCTGTGTCCAGGCTGGAACGTGGTGTGTATTTAGGAGCAGAAGCGGCTGCTGGAACTCGGCATCACCGGCCCCGAGGGCCACGTGCTCAGCCGCCCAGAGGAGGTAGGTGTGAGCTTGCTGGGAACACTCCCCCGACTGGGCCTCCATCAGGGGTTGGGTCTGGCCCCGTGGTCCCGGCAGGGCTGTGATCCCTCTGTCCTCGTCTGGAGGCGTGAATCAAGGCTCACGTCCCCTCCTACCACTGGTCATCCTGAGGCCTTTATGTGAGGCCAAGAAGGTGGCGTGGTCAGCCCTGGCGTCTGCATGGGTCGGCCCAGATTCTGGGCACCGAGCCCCAGGCTGCGGTCCTCACCCGCCCAGGGGTGCTTCTTCTGGGCCCGGGATCCATGGGTGGTCCGGGGGCATCTCATGCCCATACTGGTCAGGAGGCCCTAGTGTTCTCGTGTGGCCTGAGCGCCCCCATCCCCAGGTGGAGGCTGAGGCCGTGTACCGCGCTGTCACCGTAGCCAAGCAGGCCAACTGTCCCCTGTACGTCACCAAGGTGATGAGCAAGGCTGCGGCCGACGTGATCGCCCAAGCCAAGCGCAGAGGTGAGTGGTGGCCCGGACCGGGGCACAGGGCCAGGGTCTCTCTGGGGGTCTGTCACGTCCTCAGCTTCCCGGGGCTGGGCCAGCTGGACAGAGGCTCAGCGCAGGCAGACCCCACGGGGACGCAGCGGCTGCTCTGCCAGCCTCTTGATGGTGGGGTGGCCTCTGGTGCGGGGTCACCAGGGCTGTGGCCGGCGGGAGATGTGGGCATCTGGTCCTTGTGTGGGGTGGGTGGCCTGAGTCTCCCCTCTTGTCCGAACAGCAGTGGAGCACCGGGGGGCCTTGAAGCAAAAGTGAGGCCTAGTGGCCCTGTTTGCACAGAAGTGAGTGTCAAGAGCTGTGCTCCGTGTGTGCGTGTGTCTGTGTGCGCGATGTGTGTGGCATGTGTTTGTGTGTGTGTGTGTGTGTGTGTGTGTGTGGTGTGAATGGTGCATGAGAGTAGATGCTCATGTCGTGTAAGGGAGCCTGGCTCAGCTGACCCTGGGGGCCCATGTTACTGTCCGCTGGACACATCCTGCGTCCAGGAGCTGGGGTGTGGGTCCTGAGGGCTGGATGCCCTCTGGCCCTGGAAGCCCAGGCCATGGAGGAGGCCGGGGGTCACTGACGGAGCCAGGTCCTTGCACAGAGGCTGTGGCCAGGCGGGCCGGGCAGTCAGTTGACGGTGTGTCACTGCAGCCTGTGGCTCCAGCAGGGGTGTGAGGCAGCAGGGACAGAGGACCCCCTTCGGGAGCCCCAGGTGGCCTGGGCCGGGCGCCTCCGGAGCAGGGGAAAAGCTGTCGCAAAAGGCTTGGGGGATCGAGGGGCAGTTTGCGTCAGCCCTGGGACCACAGGGCCAGACCTACCCCATGGTGCAGGCCGGGTCAGGGGGGCGTTCCCAGGCCCTGTCTGGGTCTGGGGACATGGGGGCCGGCAGTGCCCCTCACGGCCTCACCGCAGGGGTGGTCGTGGTCGGGGAGCCCATCACCGCCAGCCTGGGCACCGACGGTTCCCACTACTGGGGCAAGAACTGGGCCAAGGCCGCAGCCTTCGTCACGTCACCCCCCCTCAACCCGGACCCCAGCACTGCAGACCACCTCGCCTCCCTGCTGTCCAGGTAAGGAGCTGCCTACGTGCCCCTCGCCCTGGCCTGGCCTGTGCCCGCCGGCAGCTCCAGGCCTCTTGCGTCCGGAGACTCCACACCGGGGTCCTTGCCCTCCCACCTGCGCCCCGAGGCCCCAGCTCTGCCCTCTCCGACAACCTCTCCCCCACCCCCCGTGGGCCGAGCAGCCAGGTAGGGGTGGAGCCAGCTGGGCCTTTGGTGGCTCAGGAAGGACAGGCCCCTCTGGGCTCTGACTCCGGCTCTCCTCAGCGGGGACCTCCAGGTGACCGGCAGTGCCCACTGCACCTTCACCACTGCCCAGAAGGCCGTCGGCAGGGACAACTTCACGCTCATCCCCGAGGGCACCAACGGCGTGGAGGAGCGCATGTCTGTGGTCTGGGAGAAATGCGTGGTGGGTGCAGAAGTGGGGACGCAGGGTCCTCCCCACAGAATGCTGCCTGTTCATCAGAGAGGGAAGCCCCTTGAGCGGCAGATTCACCAGAGCAGAGGTCGGGGCTCGTGGGCCCCAGGGTGTTGTCCCCCCAGCCTTGCCATCCAGGGCTCCCTAGACATTTGCTTCTGGTCCTAATGCACACGACCCAGGGAGAGCGGGGTCCCTGCCCTGGTGGAATTACACTCCGCAACGTGTCCCTAGGAGGCCTGAGATTTCCTCAGACATCCATCTCGCTCGGAGGGTCCTGCCCACGGCCTCTGCCCCCATGACCCCAGCCCCAGTCCTGAGCCCTTCCCTGAGCTGAGGCCCTGACCCCAGGCTCCTGGCCACCCCAGGGGGATGGTCGCGTCCTTTGGGGACACAGACATCATCGTGGAAGCATCAGCATTCATTTGGCCACAAAGTGAGCATGGAGACCAGCTTGGTGCCCAGGAAGAACCAGACCTGCAGGCACGACTGAGGCACATGACACGCGGCCTAGGGGACAGGGGCCACCTCCACACAAGAGCCCCGAGACCAGACCCAGCCTGCGGTCAGGAAGGGCGCCCCCCCGACTCACCCCCGCCTCTTACTTCTCAGGCCTCAGGGAAGATGGACGAGAATGAGTTTGTTGCTGTGACCAGTACAAATGCAGCCAAAATCTTCAATTTTTACCCAAGGAAGGGGCGGGTGGCCGTAGGCGCCGACGCCGACCTGGTCATATGGAACCCCAAGGCCACGAAAGTCATGTCTGCCCAGAGCCACCACCTGGTGAGAGAAGCCTGGGCCCACGTCGGGGGCGGGGCCTGGGGAGCCCCGCAGCCTTCCTGGGGGTTGGGCAGGGCAGCGGAGGCGGGAGGGTGAGCCCTCTGCCGGCTCTTCCTGGAACGCTCTGTGCTCTGAGAACCATGTCTCCGGGGAAGGGGTGCAGGGCGCGGCGGCCACTCCCACTGAATCCCGGCCCGGCCGAGTGGGCGCCCTGCTCAGGGGTCCTGGGTCAGGAGAACGCTGAGCAGCCCCTGGCTGTTCTCCCCAGAACGTGGAGTACAACATTTTCGAAGGCGTCGAGTGCCGAGGAGCCCCCGTGGTGGTCATAAGTCAGGGCAGGGTCGTGCTGGAGGACGGGGCCCTGTTCGTCACCCCCGGGTCTGGCCGCTTTATTCCGCGGAAGACCTTCCCCGACTTCGTCTACAAGAGGATAAAGGCTCGCAACAGGGTAAGGCCTGAGCCCGGCAGGCGGGTGGGCATGAGCTCTCAGGCCTCCTCCGGATCAGCCCTGCCCACGGCCACTGTCAGGAAAGCACAGCGGCCCCAGTGCTCCGGGCGCTTCTTAGCGGTGCTTCGCCCGCGTTCGTTACCAGGCAGCCCGTGTCACTGTAGAAAGCGTGGGTGTGAAGCAGAAAAAACGCCTCGTAGCCACCCCCCAGGTACACTGCCACTAAGGCTAGCAGAGCCCGCCCAGGATTTCCCTGGGAGCAGACGGGATGTTAATAAATTAAGGAAGGAGAACACGTGGTTTACCGGCATCCGTGAACTTGGAAGTTGTGAGCCCTCCTCTTCCCACGCGGCTTGGCCGGCTGCCCGCCGGAGTCTGGCGGATGCACCAGGTGTCCACCCAGGCCCTGCGCTGCACGCACAGGTGGTTCACGCATGCGCACAGTCACATACACACACACAGCTGCACACGTGGTTACTGTACACTCTGGTTTGCTTTACCCCAGCCCTGTTTCCAGTTTTCTAGACTAAAGACGTGTCTGAGCTCACATGAGGAGGGATGGCTTTTGGGCTGGGCTGAGGGCCAGGTGCTGGTCTCCTTCCCAGGAAAGGAGAGCGGAGGCTTCCCTAACTCGCAGACGCTTCTGTCTCAGGCTGCAGGGCCCACACCACGGCTGCTGCCCACATCTGACCTGGGCACAGCACCCCCTCCTCCCTCAGGGTTCGAGCAGGGCTGAGAGGCAGGGTCCAGGGCAGAGGGCTGGGCATTGCACCCCTTGGGGTGAGGTCCGGGGCACCCCTGGGCATTGGCCACTGGGAAGCTCCGTGAGGTGGCAGGCCAGCCCCACGTACAGCCGCAGCACGGAGCAGGGAGAGGGGACGGCTCCCCGTCGCACACCCGGGGTGATGGCAGACCCGAATCTGCAGAACTCCACACCCCACAGTCGCTCTTGCCCTGCGCCCCTGCCCCACTGTGACCCTTGCAGGGCAGGATCTGGTTCAGCTCCACAGTCACGAGTGTGAGCCACAAATCCCCAGGCAGGTGCCAGCTGCAGACACAGCACAGCTGAAGGCTTCGCCTCGACGCTCGGACTGTTGGTCCGTCATGGTGGCCACTGGGAAGGGCCTCTGCCTCTGGCGGCCATTTTCAGGGAGGGCAGGACCCAGGGCCACCACCTCAGGGCTTCCTCAGGAACACAGCGGGGGCTGCGTGGGGGCCACAGTACGGTGGGTACTGAGGAGGCGGGGACTATGTTGGGACCAGTTTCTGATTCCAAAAGGAGCCTCCTCTGCAGGCCACCCCTGTCCGAGCATCTCCTCCAGCTCGGGGCACTGCTGCCCAGCCTCGGGGGAGGGAGGTGTGTGTCCACACTCGTGGGTTGTCACCCCGTTGGCGGGGAGCCCCCTGCCCTCGAGCCCAGGGCCTGCGCAGCACCCCCTCATGCCAGCCTCTCGGCCCACAGCTGGCAGAGATCCACGGCGTGCCCCGAGGCCTCTACGACGGGCTGGTCCACGAGGTGATGGTGCCCACCAAGCCGGGGGCCGGTGTGCAGGCCCGCGCCTGCCCGGGGAAGATCTCAGTCCCACCTGTTCGCAACCTGCACCAGTCGGGGTTCAGTCTGTCTGGTGAGTTGAGCCCAGCGTCTGTGGGACCCGAGGACCACGTGGGAGTCCGGCCTCCAGCCCCTCACTGCCCCATAGCGCAGAGGCACACATGTGAGGTGCATAAGGATGGGGCCTGGGGGCTTCAAGGGCTCTGGGGGCCCGGCGTGCAGCCACCAGGCTCAGGCCTCTGATCAGGGTCTCAGCTGTGCTCCCAGCATGCTAGGATTCTAAGAGAAGCCCTGAGCCCCAGGCTCTCCCTGCACACGGAGCCAGACCCTCCCTCTCTCTTCCCAGCCCTTGGTTGGGAGCCCACCGGCCCCTGACATCCTGTCTCAGCCTCCCTGCTGGGGAGGTGATGGACGTCCCTGCCTGCCCCCTGGGGATGTAGGGCCAGGGGCGGGTCCCCTTTGGAATCCAGCATCGTCCTAAAGGCTAAAGACAGCCTTCACCCATCATGGGGGTCGGTGCGGGGCAAGACCCGTGGGCGGGGCAAGCAGGACTGGCCCAGCCTCTGCTCCTCCGGACCGGATTCCCAGAGGGTCAAGCTTGACCTCCAGTCTCTGGCCGCATGCACACCTGGCCTCACTTGCCTGCCCATCTGAGGCCTCAGTGGTGGGAGTGCCTGACCGGTGGCCTGGCTGAGCTGCCAGGGCCGTCGGGGAGCGTGGGGGGCCTGCAGTGTGGGGCTGTGGCTCCGCACCCCTGGCCTCGCGGGTGTGGCCTGTTTGCGTCACGTCCCCAGCGCCACTTCCACTTCTGGCTTCCCCACAGGCTCTCAGGCCGATGACCATATCGCCAGGCGCACGGCTCAGAAGATCATGGCGCCACCTGGCGGCCGCTCCAACATCACATCCCTGTCCTAGGTGCTGCACGTGCCAGCGGCGGGCGTGCCTGTGGGCGACAGCCACTCCCCTCTGTTCCCTTCCCTTCGTTGAACCTATTTTGAAAGGTGCCTGGCCTTATCTTCCCCTCCCCAGAAACTCTCTTCCTGGGGTCCCAGGTCCTGTTATCAGGATCCCCCACAGGAGAGGCTGAATTTGGGGAGGTTTCACTGCCAGGGCAAGGAGGCTGGACATGGTGGCAGGGACAGCTCAGGTGGCCCTGAGCCCGGGTGCCAGGTGCCTCAGGAAGACAGGGGCCTCCTAGGATGCCCAGGGCAGCCGGGCCAGGACGAAAGGCTGGGGGTGTTTTGCCCTCATCCCTATCAGGAATCACTGCCCTGAGGACCCCCAGCTCTGCCACCCGCTCCCACGGGCAGAGGTGCGGCCCGTCCCTGTGTGCCTTAGCGCAGGCAGGAGCGCCCCGGCCCTGCCCAGAGCTGCTGTGACTCCAGGGACCCACTAGGAACACAGTGTAGGGCAGCTGCCAGCAGGACTTCTGCAGATTCGCCTGTACACTTTTCCAGGGGCCAAACCTCTGCTTCCATAGAGCCCGTGTCCAGGGCATTTTAGGGCCCTTTAGCTGAGATGCTTTCCTTTTACTGAGTGTGCGTCGCAGTAGTTTATTAGAACAGCAGATTTGTGTGGTGAGGACGCCTGTAGCCAGGAACCTGCCTGCCACCCACAGCCCAGCAGCACTGTGCCCCAGTCCATGGGACTCAAGTCGATTAAAGGCATCTGGGCTGGAAGCCGACGGCGTGTGGAGAGCCCCGACTTCTCTACCCCTGCGCCATCCCCTGGGGGTTCACGCTTGGGATGCTGGGGAGTACCCTGCAGCCCCCTGGCCTGGCTTCGAGCTGTGAGGCCGGACCTCGAGACCACCTGCAGGACCAGCTGTGCTTGGCCTCCGGGCATGGGCAGGGCTGGGTCCGAGCCATAGGGAGGCTCTCTGCCTCTCAGGGAAGGGGCCCCAGGCCTGCAGGTCAGAGACAGCCAGACATTCAGAGGGGGAGGGGTGGTTGGGAGGATGCCCGCCTACATTCTCCTTGATGGGGCCCAAGCCAGCCCAGCGGGTTGGGGGCAGCGTGACCCCTGGGGACCCGCCAGGAACAGCACGATGAGCTCACACCTCCAGCGGGCAGCGGCGGGGGGAGGTGTAGCCTACATTCTGCTCCTGTAAGGCAGAGCAGCCCAGGGTTCTGATCCAGACCCATGGGCTGAGCTGCACCAGAACCTTCTAGAAGATGGAACTGCTGGGTTGGCCTCGTGGCCTCAGCCTCTTTCTCATAAAAACGGCGCCAGTCCCCCAGATGTGGGACGCTCCCAGGAGGGGTCTTCACCCCAAGAGCACCAGGAAGGGTCGGGGCAGCCCCGCCCCCCTCACACGGCCAGGCACTCTGGGCCCTGCCCAGGCGTCCACTTCCGGTCATGCTCCCTGGGGGGACATGAACAGCCCCATCTGTGAATCCGGGCCTTCCATGTGCTGTGCTGGACCAGGGCAGCCCCCGGAGATGGTCCGTCCTGGTGGTCCTGCAGCACTCCCGGGGGCTCCCTCTGGTTCAGGTTTGTTTGGTCAGCGTGGCCTCAGAGCTGGATTCCTGGGGCTCCACTGAGGCCAGTGTTCACGGCACCAGTGTCCCCCTCCCCCAGAGGGAGACGGGGTGATCGGGGAGCCAGACCACACCCACATCCCTGCCACTGACTCAGGAGATAGACATGCTGTCCCCTCGGGCCTCAAAACGCACACTTAGATGTACACAAAAACCCATATACAATACGGGTTTATACAAAACCCCAAACCTACGCCCTGCCCAGTTCCTGCCTCTGACATCACCGAGTCTCCACCCAGAACTTTCTCTGGGGATCGGCACCGCCACAGGGCATCCTGCAGTACCGCCCACCTCTGGACCCTGGCTCCCCTGTGCCCCGTGTGGGCTCGCTGTGCTGTGCTGCCGACCCTAACTCCCTGCGCCTGGGGGAGCAGGGGCCCTGCGCTGTTCCAATCTGGGGGTGCTCCGGTCCTTGTCAATTTCACGGTTCTGCCCCAGGTGCCCCTGCCCTCTGACAGGCACCACCTGCCCCTCAACCCTGCAGCGGCCTTAAGGCGCCGGGGGCAGGAGACGGGCATCCACCCCAAGGCTGAGGACCGGGGCTCCGGGGAGGCCCTGCCCCAGCAGGCCCCGCCCCGACTCCCAGACGAACGTTCTCTGTAACGCAGCAGGCACAGAACATGCAGAACAGCCAACACCGAGTGGTTCTCATGTTGTTTTTCTCAGAGGTGGAAACTATACAGGAACACAGCAGAAATTAGCAGAACGGTCTGTATCTCTATAAAACACTCTTCACGCCCACACCCCTCCCCCCTTGATGGACAGGAGCCGAGCAGCCCCTGGGCTGGCCCCCCACCCCCACCCCGGCTCCAGGCGGCACGGCCGGGCGAGGCGAGCTATGTACAGCAGGTGGCAGGAGACCAGGGTGCCCGTCCAACCACGCGGCCCGTCGGGGGGCCACCAGGAGAGCCCGCGTGCGGGCCACGTGCTTCCGTCCGCTATCGCCCGGGTGGCCCCGCCCTCCGTGCCCACTGCTCTTGGCCACACCCACAGCCTCTTGTCACCACGTGCTGCCGAGAGCCGGAGGGCAGCCTCGGCGGTCAGACTGTCCAGGGAAAGTCCAGCTGGGCTGCAGCGGGAGCCGCCGGCCTGGGCCTGGGCCTGGACCCACCGGGCCACTCCGTGGGAAGGTCGATGCTGGGCCTCCGCCCGCCGCCGGGTCCCTCTGGAGGCCCCGAGTCTCCGGCGTGACCTGAGCTGACGCCGTGGGCAGGGGCCGCCTAGCTGCTCCCGGCCGAGGGGCAAATGGTGCCGCACACACGCAGGGCCGAGCGCGCCCCCTCGCCGTCCGCCAAGGCCTCTGCGCCCTCCCCGGGCTCAGGTGCGGGCAGGGGCTCGCTCGTGGGGTCCTGGCTCTTCTTCAGCCTGGGGGGAGACACAGGGAGGGCCTTGACGCGGCCTCGCCGGCAGCCCCGGACGCTGCTCGCTGGCCCAGGGCCTGTCCAGGGACTCCTGGAGTGGGTCCCGCAGGAACACGGACACATGCTGGGCATCTCTGCCTGGGCAGAAGCTCCTCCAGCCACATGGGCTCAAGAGGGCGTGCGGGCACACGGGGCGTTCCAGCCCAGCACCCTCTGTCTGGCCGTTCCTGGCCCTCGGTCTCGGAGCGGCAGGGCTGGCGAGTCTCAGCCCATTTCCAGCCAGAAGCTAAAAGGGGGCCTAGTTTAAGCGCAGGATCTGCGAGTCAGCAATTCTGGAACAAAGCGCCTGGCCAGGTCCCATCACTACGCAGCCTTGACCTCCAGGATGATGGCCACTGTCCTAAACCAGTGTCCACACGTCGTCCTGGTCACTGAGGCAGGACAGAGCACCAGCTAATCCTGCTCACTTGCCAGGCCAGAGCTCAGAGCCGCCTCCTCCAGGAAGTCCTCTGGCCTCGCCCCACTCCTCCTCCTCTCGGGCCCCACAGCACTGGGCCGCCTCCCTCCACTGTGGCAGGTGTTTTGGGTGTCTATTTGTGGCCTGTCGTATCTCCCTGCCAGCCAGCTCTGCCCTTTCTGCCCCACAGGCCTGAAGAACCGAGTGAGGGGTGGGAGTTGTGACTGCAGGGGCCGCCCAGGAAGTCGTCTGCCCTCAGCTGGGCAGGTCCACCCAGCGTCTGCCCAGGAGATTCTGGCCACTGGCTGAAAGTGCCCAACGAGCCCTTCCCCCAGAAGCCTGAACAGGGACCTCCCACCCTCTCCCCCAGGGCCATTGCTCAGAGACCCCGAGGAGGGCAGGGGTCAGGCTTCCCAGCCCCGCTGATGCCACGTGGCTGCAGTGGCCAAGAAAACCGAGGCCCAACTCCCAAAAGTCCTTTCTGCCCCCATTACTGGCCCCCAGCACGCACACTCACTTTTCTCTATTAAAAATCACGAAGTCTTGCTGGATGGCATCAAGGCAGTCCTGAAGGTAGTCATTCTCCTGTTAGTCAGAAAGACACAAAGATGAGCGCACGGACCCCGCCAGGTTCCCTCGCATCCCTCAGGTGAGCTCCTGGGCACCCCTGGTCCGCTTCTGCTCTGTGGCCTCCCCCTCTCTGAGGAGCCTGCCTTTGGGCTGTTTCGGCAGCCGGAGCGCATGGGAGTTTGCATCTCCAGGTGACCCTTAGCCAGAGACAGAAGGACGCCCGGCCCCTATCTCAGGGTGGTTGCAGTGTGTGCAGAGCCAGACTCGTGTGGAAGCCACACCGGGCTTGGTTCCCTCCCCTCCCCCGCACACACCAGGTCCTCCTGGTCACTTGAGCCTGGTACACAGATCCCATCTGAGGGTCTGACTCCGGGGAACCTGACTAAGAAGGTCCCCGGCAGGAGCTGTCCCAAGAAGCAGACGCTCAGCATGGGGTTCTGGAGTTGGGTCCCGAACTGGCCAGATGCAAGGAGTGCTGAAGGGCCCTGGCAGGCGTGAGATCCCGACCGCTAAGACCCTCGCCTCAGGTGTGTCGGGAGAGTGTGCAGGTGGAGGGGACGCCCTGGGACTGCGGGTCAGGGTGGTCGCGCCTGGCCCCATGGGTGTGTGAGCCACGGGCTCGGGGCAGCCAAGCAGCAGCCCCAGCCGCAATGTGGAGACGCCCCATCCCGCAGCCCCGACAGGGAGCTGGAGACAGGCTGAGACGTCCGAGCAGCGGAACTTCAGAGAACGCTGGACTCACAGCCTTGAAGTTTCCTGCATCAAATGTAAGGCCCTGATAGGGAAGGAGCGGGCCTCTGGGACGTGGGAGGGGCCACCCGAGGAGATGTTCGTGGGCACGTTAACCCTATGCCCCTGCACTCCCGAGCCCGCGGGAGGGCCTCTCGCCCGCTGGAGGAGAGTGACACCTCCACCCCAACTCCTGCGGACGACGCAGAGTTGCAACCACAGCAGGCGAGACACAGCACTCGCCCGCTCAAGCCCTGCCCCCCCTGCCCTCCTCGTCACGTGCACCCCTCGCAACTGCGCAGGCGCTCAGCCTGCTGGTAAGGAAGGTGTTACTCAACGAACCGGCAGGACGGGCCTGGGAGGGGCCTGGGGGTGGGGCTATGTGGCTGGACAAGGGAGAGTCTGCCCTTCCAAGACTTGGGTCTAATTCCCCGGCAAGAGCCCCTGGCATGTGTGGGTCCTAATACGCTGCAACGTGGAAACATGGGAAAAATGACGGCCCAGGTGAAGAGTCCGGAAGGTTCAGAACGGCCTTGGGAGAATGCCGGGGGGCCGCGGGCGCGTCAAAGTCTCAGAGGACTGGGCAGCTGGAGCGCGTCAACAGACTCAAGTATAAAGACCCTCGGACCCATCAGATGACCGTGTTCCTCTGGAGGGCCCGAAGGACACTCCTTCCAGCCAGATGACAAGGAATGAGCTGGGGTGGGGGGGCACGGTGCCCTGGGGAAGCTCAGTGGCGTCTGTCTTGTTCAGGAGGTTCTGCTCCAGGACTGAGCCCCCAGAGGAGGCGATGACGGGACCCAGAACAGTGGAAGCCGTAACCTAGCCTACTCAGCCGCACTAAGGGGGGTGGGACTGCCGCAACAGGCCTCCAGGTTAGAGGGGCACGCAGGGCACCCCGACCCCCAGGGACGTGGACGATGTTCGACAGATCATGGCGCTCCCAGGGGTCAGAGACGGACAGCCAGTGCTTGCACGCGCGCACCACACACACACACACACACACACACACACAGTAAGATCAAGGGTGCGGGAGCAGAAGGCTGGCGTCGGCCACCTTGATGGAAGGTCACAATTCTTTTTCTCATTTCCACATCGAATTCGGTTCTCAGACCTAGACCCATGGGCTGAAGGAGAGGCAGGCTCCCTGTAGGGAAGGCCCAGGCTAATTCACAGCAAGTGTACACGGCAGCTATACCCTCAGCCCTTCCCAAAGGTATCTATGACCACTTCCCTCATGTCTGCACACAGGAGGGGGTAACGCCCAGCCGTTTAGAGGTCTGTTGGAGACAGGGTCTGCGCTAACACTTGGCCCACGTCCATCTTAGCCTACCCAGTGGCTACCGCCCCCTAGCTGCTGCCTGCATAACCAAGACCGATGTATTTGGCATCTAGCAGAATTCTCAGATTAGTACCTTGACCTGTGGAGTAACAGCTATTATCATGGAAAAGCCCAGCGATAGGTCCTGAAACTCTACCCCCTCTCAACAAACCAGCCGAGACAAGAAATAGAAAACAAACCCACCCCCAGAGTGGAGCAGCAGGTGCCACTGCGAGGGACGTCTGAGGCTTTGCCTTTACCTGTGGGGACCCAAGGATGCTGCTTCCATTGTTTTCCCGTTGAATTCATGAGCCTGGCCCTGCAGAGATCAGACGGCTCGTGGCAGGAGAGGGGAACTGGGACAGATTTAACCTAGTGGTGGCCCGAGCGCCACCGCTGAGCCTGACGCGGACGCTTTACCAGAACAGATGACGCAGCTGCTGGTGTGTGGCGCGCAGCCACTGACTGGACACACACGTGCTTTCCGATCCCATCGGCAAAGAGGGTTGGTATTTTGCATTCACCTAGGACTAACACAGTATAAAGCCAGTCCCCAGTTATGAGCGTTCGGCAGACGACTTTTTGACTTTACAGTGGTGTGAAAGTGATATCAGGTAGTAGAAACCGTACTTCAAATTCTGAACTTTGATCTCTTCCTGGGCTAGCGATATGCGGTCCAATCCTCTCCTGTGATGCTGGCCAGGGGCTGCAGCTCCAGCTCAGCCCCACGGCCACAAGGGACCCAGACAGCCATTCTGGTTTTCATGTCCAGTACAGCATTTTGATCATTTACATGAGACAGTCAACACTTTATTATAAAATAGACTCTGTGTTAGATGATTCTGCCCGGAGTGCTCTAAGCACGCATAAGGCAGGCCGGACTAAGCTACGATGTTAGGTGAGGGATCGTAAATGCATATTGACCTATGATATTTTCAACTTACAACGGGTCCGTCAACCCTGGCTCAGTGCTGAACAGGTGCACAAACTCCGGCCGGAGCCAGTTCTGGACCCAGTTCTGGACCGGAAGCTCAGGCCACTCAGGGACAGGGCCGAGGTCACACCAGGAGGTGAGCCCCTGATGCATGCAGACCAGAAGAGGTACCATCTGAGGGTGAGGAGGTGCTAGAGTGGGGATGGGGGATGGAGAGACGCTGTCCGCGGCCTGGGGGTTGGCGGGGGGAGGGGCTGCGGTTCATCTCACCCTTCCGCACCCAGGTTCTCCAAGGACGAGAGACACTCCTGCCCGAGGAGCCGCTCGGAGGGTCTGGGCAGCGTTAGAGGCAGACGGTGTGCACAGTGCCGTGCCCCAGGGACCCTCCTTCCCGAGGCACGGGCTGTGCTGTCGGCAGGGAGCTGGGGCTGCGCTGCGCACCCCGCCCGGCTCCGGCGCCTTTCCTTGCAGTGGCACATGCGTGTGGTCCAGCGACCTGCTGTGGGCTTTTGGACCCTTTGCCGCACAGAGTCAGGAAGCCACGGAAATGTCTATCCCTCTGGGGCCTTTCACCGACTGGGTGCCGGGTGCAGGGGCAGGAAAGGCCGCTTCCCCAGAGTGTAACCCGTGCTCAGGTCCCTGAAGGGCAGGTTGCTCTCCGAGGACGCTGCCTGAAACCCAGACTTGCTGCCCCCCACCCCGACTGCATGAGTGGCTGTTCCGGGCGCCCTGCCTGAGTCAATCCGTGCACACGGTCCTCGGGGTAGACATCGACGGGCCCTATCGATGCTGATACATCGTCTGACCCCAGGTGTCACCCAAGGTGGGGAGTGACGAAGGGCCTGGGCCTGGGGACCAGGCACCAATCCCTAACTCTGTCACAGATGACCTGCTGAGCAACTCAGATGTCATTCCCAAACCCCTCAGGATGCCCTGGAAATGCCAGGGACCCAGAGTAGCTGAACCGTCTCGAAAAGGAACAGGTTGGAGGACTCACACTTACTTCCTGACCTCAGAACTCACCAGAGAGCTCTAACTGTCAAGTCAGTGTGGCACCAGCAGGACAGACACACAGCTCAGCGAACTAGAACGGCAAGTCCATAAGTAAACCCCTACATCCACTCCATAAATAAACCCTACCTTCACGGTCAATTAATTTGTGAAAATGACGCCAAGCAATTCAACGGAAGAAAGAAGAGCTCTTTCAACCAACAGCGCCTGGACGACTGCACGTCCACAGGCAAAAGAATCAGGTTGGACCCTACCTGACACTATCCACAAAACTAACTCGAAGCGGATTCTACACCCAAACTGTAAGACAAAGAACATAAAACACTTAGAAGAAAACACAGGAGTACCTCTTTGTGACCTTAGGTGAGGCAATGGTTTCTTAGAAACGACACCAAAAGCATGAATGAACAAAGGAAACAGATACGTGGGGCTTAATCAAAACCAGACTTCCGCTGCAGATGGTGTCAACCAGAAGAAAGGAAACCCACAGGACTTCCCTGGTGGCGCGGTGGTTAAGAATCCGCCGGCCATTGCAGGGGACACAGGTCTGAGCCCTGGTCTGGGAAGCTCCCACATGCCGTGGAGCAACTAAGCCCGTGTGCCACAACTACTGAGCCTGCGCTCTAGAGCCCGTGAGCCACAGCTACTGAAACCCACACGCCTACAGCCCGTGCTCCTCAACAAGAGAAGCCACCACAATGAGAAGCCCACGCACCGCAACAAAGAGTAGCCCCCGCTCGCTGCAACTAGAGGAAGCCCGCACACAGCAACGAAGACCCAGTGCAGCCAAAAGTCAATAAATTAATTAATAAATTTATTTTTTAAAAAAGAAAGAAAACCCACAGACTAGAAGAAAATCTTTACAAATCGTCTGTCTAAGGCACTTGTGTGCAGAATATGTAAATAAATAACTTATCGATCAATAATAAAAAACAGAAATAAGAAATGTAACTTCAGCTCTTTCATATAAAGAACTCAAAGCCATCACTCCCATCCCGATAGCAAGAACAAAGTCAGACCAACAGGACATCAAGGACAGCTCCACACCTGCAGTGCCCCTGCCGGCACCAGGGGCTGCCATCAGGGGAGGGGATGGGAGCCCACCCACCTTCTCACTGAGAAATTGAGGGTTCCAGGGAAGACCCCATCCTGGCCTTTCACCGCAGTGAGAAGAGGCTGACACCCATCTCTCTGCCCAGGACCCAGGCCGGGGGCAGCACAGGCCCCCCAGGTGTGAGAGGCTGCATCCCAGGACATCCCCACAGGCTCGGCCGGGTCCGGGGGCTGGGGGACTGCCGAGCGCGTACAGTGTCCCCGCTGTGATCACCACCATCCACACCCGCAGCCCTAGTTGTGTTGTGAACGCTGGCCATGCCCCAGGGACGGGTCCAGGCTGGATCCCCTGCTCCCCGGGAACGCCCCCCACTTCCAAGAGCAGCTGACCTGGGGCAGGATGGGGGCTTTGACAGGTTAAACCATGTCCCCCAGGGTGGGGTCCTGGCCCCATTTCCTCAGAATGTGAAACGACGTCCCTGCAGATGCCACCAGTCAAGTAAAGGGCAGGTCACCTGCACTACGCATCCTACCCAGTGTCACTGGTGTGCTCGTGCGAAGAGGAGGCAGAGACACCCACACGCATGTGCACACACATGCATATGCACGCGTGCACACGCACACACATGCACTCACACGTACGTGCATGCACACACGCGCACATGCACTTACATGCAGCCTCCATGCACACACACATGCACACGCGCGCACATGCACACACGCGTATGCACGCACACGCATGCACAAAAGCGTGCGTGCACGCACGCACACAGGTGGCCCCGTGACCACGGGGGCAGAGCCTGGCCCTACGCAGCCACAGCAGAGCTGGGTGAGGCAGGAGGCACCCTCATACCCCGACGGCCAGTGCCCGCCCTGCAGAGGAGGGAGCGAAGGGCAGGCAGGAGCAGCTGGGCTGGGCGCGGGCCCCGAGCTCACCGACTGGGAGCTGTCCCTGCTGCTGTCCCGCGACCTGTTCTTGGCCAGGCGCTTCTTCTTCTTGTGCAGCGGCCGCGACTCCAGGATCATCTCCTCCAGCTCGAAGGTGGGGTCGCAGTGCAGGCGGCCTTTCTGTGGAGGACGGTGCTGAGCCCGGCACCCGGCCACCCTCGCCCGCCCCGTCCACCCTGGGCCTGTGGGCTTACGTTGGGCACGAAGCCGGGCTCCACCTTCTTCTCACTCAGCTCGGTCCACAGAACATCGGCCAGTGCGGGGGCCGCCTGCATGTCCTGCAGGCTGGACACGCGGTGCTTGGGGTTCACGGTGAGCAGCTGGAACAAGGCCCCGGTCAGCCTGCCCCGGGCCCAGGTCTACCCGGCGCTCACCGGCCCCGGTGCAGGTCTCCCCGGAGCCATCAGCAGGCAGCAGCCTGGCTCACTGCCCTCCCGCTTGGAGCCCGACAGGATGGTGGCTGTCACGGCCCCAGGAGGCCCCAGGGCAGCCGTGCGTGCGTGGCCAGCATCACGGCCATCGCCTTTTCCGGGGGAAACAGCAGAGACCCAGTCCAAGGCTCCCCAGCCTGGTGTGCGGACCCTCCTCACCCCCGGCCTGGGCCTGCGGCGGCCGAGGTCCCGCCGTGTGAGCCACCTGGCTGCTGTGGGCACAGCTGCGCGGGGCGAAGGCTGTGTTAAGAGCCCCTCTCGGGGGCTGGGGGAGGGCCTCTAGCTGCTTGGCTACACTTCCAGGGCCTAAGGTCTCCGGGCAGGGCCCAGGACCTGCCCAGCAGGACCCCGGAGCCAGGAGACGGGAGCTGGGGGTGAGCCGGGCCACAAATGTCCAGCGCGCCCTCCCTCACCCATCCTGACCCAGCTTCGACGCCCCAGTGTGCTTGAGGGACGGCTCTCCGAGTGGGGAGCTGGCTGGCCAGCCGAGGAGTGCCCCCCCGGCCCGGACCTGGACCCCAGGGGAGGCACTCCAGTGGTGACGCCACAGCCCCAGGTCCCCACCAGGCTGAGGTCCCCACCAGGCTGAGGTCCCCGGGCCGCTGCTGACTTGTGCTCAGGACCTGGAATGTGCGGGGGTTCTGGGGTTTTCTCTGCTTGCTCCCCGCGGGGGGCTGGCCAGGCCAGTGACTGCCCACCTCCAGCAGGAGGCATGGGGCAGAGGGGACCAGAGCAGGGCGGCCCCGGCACCCAGCCCCACACACCCTCCCTCCAACACACACGATGGGGTGACCTGCCCTGAGCCTGGGCATCTGTGACGCGCAACCAGGTCGTAAGGATTAAATTCAGCTGCACCTGTGCTCACGTGGGCCGAGCTGTTACAGCAGGACAAGGAGCGGGTGGCCGCTGGAAGCCCGGCCGGAGAAGCACACAAGACGCAGAAGGCGCGAACCAGATGCCTTCTCCGGACCAGGGCCTCCAGGCTGCCCACCCTCGGGACAGGATGCCCGTCGAGCCCCACGTGTCTGGCCGGGCCTGCGCTCCAGGCAGGGCCAGGAGGGGCGGCTCACCTTCCGCAGCAGGGCCACCATCTCCTTGGACCAGGTGGGCACGTACTGGACGCTCACGGTGCTGAACAGCTGCACCAGGGACTCCGCGGTGTTGCCCGAGTGGATGTCGTAGGGCCTCTGGGCAGCAGAGGCAGAGCTGCAGCGGCGCCTCCCCGAACCCAGGGCCACCCGAGGTGAGCCTACCTGCCCCCAGCCCCCGGTGCAGGCCCAGGGAAGAGCCCAGGAGGCCAAGCCTGCAGTGCAGCCGGGGAGGCGACCCGAGAGGCTGCCAGTGGGCTGGGAAGGACGCACAGCGCCCCCAGGGCGCCTGGGCCTGGTGGACCAGCTGCAGAGGGCAGAGGGGGCTGCCTTGCCTACGGCCTTCTCCAGGGCAAGTCCTCGGAGGCCCCGACGAGGAGCTGGGAAGGGCAGGTGGTGACCTGACGAGGCCCCCAGCCTCCGGGGCTCCAGCGCTGGCTGGGCCGCGGCAGCTGCGGGGATAGCACAGGGGCCCACCCGCACACGAGCCTCACGGGAAGTCCAGAGGGGGCAGCCCTGCTGGACGGTTCTCTGCCTGCCCCCAGCCCCCTCCAGCATGCAGCCTCGCTGACGGAAAGCACGGACTGCCCTGAGCACCTGGGGGTGGGGCAGCCTCACCCCTTTGGGAGCTGGGGACACCCCGGGGGGACGCAGCTAGCTCGGGGTCTGGGGACTGAGCCCGCGGGCCGCAGGAGCTCCATACCCATCCACGCAGCAGTTCATAGGCCATCACCCCCACCGACCACCAGTCCACCTCGAAGGAGTAGCCAGTCCCACCGTTGACAAAAGACTGGAAGATCTCCGGAGCTTTCCAGGGAGGGAAGGAGGAGCTGAGCATCCCTGACCACAGGCCCGTGACCCCAGCCCCGGTGACCACAGGGCCCGTGACCCCAGCCCCGGTGACCACAGGGCCCGTGACCCCAGCCTCGGTGACCGCAGGGCCCATGACCCCAGCCCCGGTGACCACAGGGCCCGTGACCCCAGCCTCGGTGACTACAGGGCCCGTGACCCTAGCCCCGGTGACCACAGGGCCCGTGACCCCAGCCCCGGTGACCGCAGGGCCCGTGACCCCAGCCCCGGTGACCGCAGGGCCCGTGACCGCAGCCCCGGTGACCGCAGGGCCCGTGACCGCAGGCCCAGAGACCAGGCTGCCGCCAGAACTGGACTAGGAAGCTGCCCTCGGCGGTCAGTCCGTCCTTCCCCACTGACCGCCTGGTTCAAATCCCGGTCCCACAGCCTGACGAGGGCGGTGGGCTATCTCATTATCAGACCCACAGTACACGCCCATCACTCAGATTCTTCTGCACGGATCAGGCCTGGCTGTTCTTAGCCTGACCATCCCCTGCTGCTGTGCCTTTAGGTCAGTGACCTGACCGCACCAGCCACAGGCCAGGGGAGGAGACCGGCCGGCAGGCTGGCAGGGGCCGCGGGCTGGGAGGGGCGAGCCTCACCCATGTACGGCTTGGTCCCGGCCAGCGCAGTCGCCCTCTCGCCATCCTTTATGATGGTGGCGATGTTGAAGTCAGTCAGGTGCGCATGTCCTGCGAGGACAGAGGACAGCATGACTGTCCCAAGGGGATGTGTCCTGCGGGCAGGGGCGCACACCCTCCGCGGCTTTGGGCTCACACGCCTAGGCTCACCTCGCTCATCCAGGAGGATGTTATCGGGCTTCACGTCTCTGTAGAAAGAGCAGGAAGCAGGGAGATGAGTCCAAAGATTCCGGCAGGGCTGGGGGTTCCCACGAGCTGGGTCCTAAGACCCCCTCCCCACCTGGCAGCACCCTGGCAGAGCTGGGTGCACCCAGCCCTTCACCTCCTGAGGCCAGACGGCGGGGAGAATGCCCAGCACTGGACGCCGAGGGGCACTGAAGCCCCCAGAGGATGAAAGCAGGACCCCCTCGCCTGGACCCCCGAGGCGGGGCCCTCTCCCAGAGCCCCGCAGCTGCGCAGAATTGTCAACTGGGGGTCTGTGGCTCCACCAGCTGGCCTCAGGCCTCGCCTTCCCAACCTCTCGGCACTCAGTAAACGTTCGGTCCTGCACCGTGACCAGGTGACAGAATCCCACAGGCAGAAACGCAGAATCACGTCTACTTCACTTTCTACCACGTGGGATTTTGTGTTTTATCCTGTGGCAGCTTCATCTTTCTCATTTCATCTGCCTTCAGATGCTAAAATTAGTTTGAATGTTAAATGTTAAAATTAGCTTGCATTTGCCAAAGACGTGGCAGACGGGCACAAGGGCACCTGCTGGGCGGGGGCAGGGATACTGCAGTTGAACAGACCAGGTGAAGCCGCCTCCCCACCCCAGGAAGGCCACCAGCCCTCTGTGCCCAGCCTCAGCTGGGGATGCTCAGACAGGACCCACCCCAGGCGGCCACCTTACGTGCAGCCATGGAGCTGGCCTCAGAGCCAGGCACTGACGGGCCCGGTGCCACACCTGGGGGCAGGGCTGCGGGTGAGGGCAGGGCAGAGCACACAGGAGCCCATCTGGGTCCTGCTGGAGGGCGGCACCCGCCCCGTCAGGTGTGCACACACCTGTGGATGATGTGCTGACTGCGCAGGTAGTCAAGGGCCAGTGCCGTCTCACAAACGTATAGCCTCACGGTGTCCTCAGAGAACTGGACGTTCTGCTGCAAGTGGTAGCGCAGGTCTCCCCCCGGCAGCAGGTCCACCACCATGAACATGTCCTCCTCGTCCTGGAAGGAGTACCTGTGGGCACCGTGGGAGGACCTGGCATGCACACGGCTGGGGGACCAGAGTCACAGCTCCTGCCACACCTGACGAGTCCCCCTGTAAGAGCCCTGGCCCCAAGGCCACCCCCCACCAGGCACCCCCAGGAGAGGGGCCCTGCCCAAGGAGCCACCTGGAGCCAGAGCCCTCAGGAAAGACAGAGAGGCCTGTCCCCATGGGAGGTGCCCAGCTGGGACAGAGATGCCCATGGCTGACTGATGGAGAGTGGAACACAGCACTGTCCCTGGGCCATTTTCCTGATGCCCTGGTTTCCTCTTCTCCAAAAAGGGGATAAAGAGGGTTGTTAAAGAAGAAATTGAGACAGTGAGGAGAAATGCTCAGGTAGGGCTGGGCAAGGGACCAGCTTCTAACAGCCGGCAGCTGTAGTGACTGTGGTGGTGATGGTGGTTGTGGTGGTGATGGCGGTGATGGTGGTGATGGTGGTGATGGTGGTGACGGTGGTGATGGTGGTGATGGTGGTGATGGTGGTGACAGTAGTGACGGTGGTGATGGTGATGATGGTGGTGA